TGGAGATATCAGATTGCTGGAAGTAAGGTGATCTAGGATGGCTCGCTTCAGAATGCGTTCCATCACCTTGCACGGCACGCTAGTGAGGCTTATAGGCCTATAGCTGCCAGGCGATAGTCGGTCACCAGTTTTGTATATTGACGTGACAATCGCACAGGATAATGGATGTTATGGCTACCAGATATAAGGAACGGTGACCTTCGTATTGTGTTCTTGCGCTATTTTTAGGATTAAAATGACGATTAAAGCGCCCCACTCCACCGGTTTCTGTTTTCGCTGTGGCAAGGTCGTCGGAGTGCTAACCTTGAATGTAGGCTATCCGATCGCCGTTGGTTGATTGGTTGGCGTTGCATACATGTACAGTATGCACACTACTTTATCCCAGATCCACGGATTGACACACAGGATCGAGGCTTTTGCCCAAGTTTACCGTGTCGGTTTTGTTCTTGTCATTCGGCGGCTGTTGTTCATCTGGAAGGCACTCATGAAAAAAGGGTATAGCACTGCTCTTTATATCCTCAACGCGGGAAAATAGGCTTGCCAGCGCGAGGACTCGCATAAATAAGTGTCTAGGAGTGCTTTGAATTAAGTTCTAGAAGGAGCGTGGGAAACCGTCGGGGAGAGCTTTTCCACGTAGCCACTACCGAATATGAGGAACAGTTTCGCCTAATGAATGCGTGCGCTCTCACTATTTCCACGCCGTATTTTTGTTGGGTCAACAGTGAAAAGCTTGTTGGCCGAGCTTGTTTGAACAGGGCATAAGAAAGCATTAGGTCCCCTCGGAGGCGGCGATACTGCAGCGTCTACATCCATTTGAGGGGCACTGGCATTGTAACTCCAGTATTTCAAGTCGTGCGCAAAAAGTAGACATGGACCTGCAAGAACATCGGGAGGATCGTTGACGTAGATCAGAAACAGCAGTGGTCCCAAAGCGGCGCCTTGAGGAACTCCAATGGAGCCCGGCGCTAAAGAAGAGTGGGTAGAACCTGCCTTCACTCATAATGATCTATCTGGCGGGAACGCTTTGTTCCAGAGTAGGATTTTCCCATGAATCCCGTAAGACTCGAGCTTGTGGAGTAGCGGAACGTGTGGCATCCTATCAAATGCTTTTGAGAGGTCGAAAAATACGGCATCCTATATGAGTCCTTCATTGGCTTGGGTTAAATTGTCCATAAACAAGAGCATGTTTGTCACGCAGGAACGGTTTGGTGGAAATCCGTGTTGAGCTGGAGATATCAGGCTGCTGAAAGTAAGGTGATCTAGGATAGCTCGCTTCAGAATGCTTTCCATCACCTTCCACAGCACGCTAGTGAGGGTTACAGGCCTGTAGCTGCCAGGCGATAGTCGGTCACCAGTTTTGTGGATTGGCGTGATAATCGATTCCTTCAAAGCAAAGGAAAGTCGGAGAAGCATTAGGGGACGGTAATTTTCAGAAGGTAGGTTTTCATAGCAATATATGTGGCTGAAAAACGGAGAGAAATTCCATGAGCTGAAGCCCAGTAAACAAAGGTGTACATCAACCAAACCGGCAGACGCCGTATTCTGCATATCGCATGTCCGAACACTCAACAACATCGGATGATCCATTAGTTGCCCAATGCTCCTAGATGAAAACCTTTGAGAGTGAAATAAAAAGTTTAACGCAAAAATGACGCATTTTGTTGCGTATGTGCTCAAACCAAAGATTATCCTAATCTACTTTCATATTTTTGCGGCGCACAGAATTACATTTTCCACTGAAACAATCATTCTTTTGGTGGAAAAGTCTGGTGGAATACTTCACTAGCGTCGTTGATACCCCGGGATGCTCAGATGGGGAGTAAATATTGGACCCGTACTCTAGACTCAATTACCTGTCTCATTAAGTCCAGCAGGCACATGTCGTTGATTTCGAAAATTGAAACCCATTGTGCGAATACTGAGCGCCTAACATAGGGATGCATCCTACACTCACACCAAAAGTTTCTCTGGAACCGTGGGTATGGAAAATTTAAAATGAAAATCTAAAACCCATTCGGGCCCCTGAGATCTCCCCCCAAGCGGCTGCAGTTGTTTAAACGAACTCGGATTCCACTGTGGGCGCAGAATTCTTATTTAATTCGCCGCCCGTGGGTCCGCGCATGGTCTCCATGAAAACGGCTGAAACCTTTTGTAAAAGCTGGTTTCTACGCTGGTTTTCTCATATGTAAGTCTTGGAAATTATATTTAATCGACTCAGACAATAATCACGCCCAGTACCTCCGCTCAAACTCAAACTGGAGCGACAGTCGTGAACTGGATATTAAAAATTTTTCCATGGTTTAGGCAACCGTCCAGCCGAAGCCAAGGAATTCTTCACGACCTGTAAGCCTTTTGTTTTTTATAATGGTCAGGATATGTTATACCTGGCTTAAGGAAGTGTTTGATCCTCACCGATGCACCGAACCACCAATAGTGCCGCTGGGTGGACTATCGGGTTTGTGGGCAGAAAAAGTGGACGGCACAATAAGATGGCCACTCCTTTCGAATCCTTGCATAAATTAAACGGACTGAAACGGTCTCGTGAATAACACGCTCTCTCGGGAAATATTAGAGACATTGTGAACTACGGGCGAGCCATCAGACTAGGTATGGTAGTCGCGGTACCGTCACCGCGACGCCGTACTTGGGTTTGTGGTCAGCCGCGTACATGAACATTCTGGATGAACCTTTTGGGTTGTCATTGTAGTTGGGATCTCAAGGTCAGGTGTTGTAATTTTTTCATTATTCTAGCCCATCCATAGGTCTTCTACCAGTTTTTTATACTGGATAGCTATTTTTCACGGTGCCAAACAGGCTTTCATTATTCCAGTAGGCCTAATTAGTGCTAGCCCCAGTTTGTAGAGCGTGCTTGGTCCTCATCTACATAGTGGTTCCGTCCAACGTTCCGCCACTGTTCCACGCTTCCACAGTCCTATCTGAACTACCAGCCCACATAGGTGCCTGAGACTGACTGTGACTATCTTAATACAATTCATAGTTCTCCCACTACCCTAGAACTCTCAACGTTATTCCACCAAATACATCATTCCTCGACCTACTCCGAAGTTTCTCATTATGTCACCGGCCCCGTCTTCCTCAAAGCGGTCGCTAGACCTCGAATCCCCATCAGCTATCCTCCCGGCATGTTCAAAGAAGCGGTTTAGATCCAGAGGATCCAGCCCCCCAACCCCCTCACCTCCCAAAGCCGGTAAAGATAGCATCCCAGGCAACTTTAGGGTATTCAGTTGTTCTAACTGGCATCCTTGCCTCCTCAACCCGGCAACACTCTCTCACCATTGCCAGTAGGTTCTGAAGTTCTAAATGACCTGGAAAATCTCAAAACACGTGTGCGCCAAGTGGAGAACGAAATGTCCTCCCTCCGAACAATACAATCGATTGCATGCCTTCTGAATCCTGACGCAACATGCAATCAAACAAACTTAGAAAAAGCGTCACTTCTTATTGACACCATAGCTACTGAGTTTAGTCAACGCATCGAATGCCGGCATCAAGTATTAATATTCAATGCCTCCGATCGAATCCCACTTGAGCATGCCAAAACTGCCATCCTGAATACATGTGGCATGCAGGACACCATATGCAAATCTCGGCGACTCCGGAAGTCGAAACCATTCATATGCTGCCCGATAGTAATGCAATTCCGGGATGAAAAAGATGCCGCTAACAGCCCGGACGCTTCTCTCATCTACCAAAAAATTCCATACCTTAACACTTAAAGCCGCTCGTACAAGAATGCAAGGCCAGCTTACTAGAATGTCACCGAAACCTGTTGCATCGTCACCCACCAGTACTTGCGCTGACGAGTGCCACAATGCCACACAAAGCGGTCTGTTGAACCAGGGTCCTGTACCCCACGCTCATGACCATGAGCCCTCCACTCCTATATCTGGGCATCCACAAATGTTATCTTCCACCACGCCAACGAGATCGACTGCTGCAGGGTCCTGCCACGCTCATGACCATGAGCCCTCCACTCCTATATCTGGGCATCCACAAATGTTATCTTCCACCACGCCAACGAGATCGATCGACGATTTAGGAGATACGGCAACTAATCAGCCCACACATAAGGCTGTGGTGGAAAATGATAGCACAGGTTCTCACTCTAGACCTCCTGACCTAATGACACTTCGTGTCTCCCCACCAAAGCGCTTCCTTGGACTCAAGCACCTGCTATCCAAGCCTCGCACTGTAATCCCTTCTCCTGTACCAACTCCCCGAGCTTCTGCTCTTCGCCCTTCTACAAACTTGACTAAACCCGTGATTCCTCATAATCACGTCTGTCGCCCCTCTAGCCGTGCTACTCAGTTCCCTGACAGGGTCTCTAAACCACAACTACCGTTACGTAATCCTGGACCCTATCAAGTTCCGCCCCTCTGGAAACCTGCGTACTATATGCCTAGGATCACTTTTCAGCAACTACCTACTCCACCTCAGCCTCCGCCCCATCCGAAGCCACGTGCCCACCTCTACCTTCCTACTCCAAACCCCCTCGAACTACAGCCAACGCAGAGGATTCCTGCTCACTCCCAACGGAGCTCACTCCTCCCAGAGAGTTTGATTATACCACTAAATTCCTCACTGCATGATGTCCCCTCTCCTCAGCTTGCATCTATCACCATAAATCTCTTATTCCATCTACTCCAATCAGCCCAGTTTGATTACCCGTTCCCTCCGCCCCCTACGATTCGATGCTGAAGGCTCTACAAAACAGCTCCACCCGACTTCTCGGTTCCCTTGTTTTACCCTCTCATTCTCTGTCTCTTAAACACTTCTCCTGCCCTTCCATCCCGCGTGACCTAAATCCCGCTGTTTCTGTTGAGCTACTACACACGGTACCACCTCCTGACTATGTCGATTACATTATTACAAACGATTGCCCGACCCCGCCTGTTACTCTTTGTCCATGGATTTCCGCTACCTTCCCCTGCCACCCTAACTCTGCTTCGGTACCCATCGCGGTACGCCCCATCATCTTGTTCTCACGTATCTTTACCTGGTCCTACTTCGCCTACTAACTCAGGAACCCCCGATTCCCCTGCCTCTACTCCATTCCATACTAACCTCCCTGGGCTTGTCAACTTCTTGCTAGCCACATTACCCACCTCCCCCGATCCCGCTAGCAATCCTTCTGTCGTTCTAATCAACACCCGTTCTCTTACCTAAATTGCACTACATCCAAGCTATCTCCACTATAGCTTGTCCAACCCTCATTTTCATCACAGAAACGTTGCTCTCTCCTAGCACACCTGATGCTCTTATCTCCCTTCCGGGATACACTATCTTCCGTTCTGATCGTTCCCACCGCCGTGGAGGTGGCTGCCTCATATACGCCAGAACTGATATGGAAGTCTCCACCATTGACGAT